CCGGGAAGATGGCTGCTGTCAACAGATGAAGGAGGAGAAGTTGATCTGTTTTGAGTACTGCCACAACCGTTGCTGAGGTTGACTGGTCCTAACCTCAGCCTCACTCAAATAGAGTTTTTCCTCAGAAGAGACCTCTGCTGGGGGAATGTGATGAAATCAAGTGAGATTTTAAAACAGGAGCAATTAGCAGATCTGCCAACACAGACACCGACTGCCAGTCCAGCTATGCAACTCAATTTCAAGTCTTGAACTTATCCTTAAAGCTGCTTCTGTTTTTGAGGAAGGATAGCTCCCAAAGGAGACACAAGTCATATTTTCCGAGGAAAATTGAGCTTTCACTTTGTGAGTAATATCATAATGATTAATGTGACAAAGAAGTTTTGCCAACACAGATGCAGCAATGGCTCTTTAAGGCTGAAATCCCAGTGTGAGCTGTTCTAACATATGGAGTTCCTGTTTACCCAACAGTTAAGTATTTATTCATCAAAGTGGGAGCTAAGTGACTAGTTTCCAACTGGCCTGTGAATGACCTTGGCAATTCACTGTTGCTCATGTTTAGTTTTCAGTTTGAACATTATCATCTTCACAATAAAAACCATATTTAGGTTGTTGGGATAGCTAACCAAGAACAATCACTTTGAGTGTTTAACATGAATGGAGGGTTCTTGTGACATAGTGGTAGTGTCTGTATCTCTGAACTGGAGTTCAATTCAAGTCCCACCTGCCCCAGGAAGTGTGCCACAACACATCTGAACAGGTTGATTAAAAAAGAAACACAAGATGTAAGAGATTGTCAGATTCTTGCTATTTTATGTCTCGCTCTCTCCTTAAGGGAATGAGTCTTTATGGGTTAATAGCTCCAGCTTCCAGCTGTCCTCCAGCACCTCAGTCAAATTGACATTCTGGCCTTTCCAGACTTGACATTGTGCTTGCAGGCTACTCAACAATGAAAGGCATCCTAGTTCTCATGCTGGCACTTCTCACCACAAGTGACGATTTGAATTCCTTAATTTCATTTTGTCTGATTCGATGTGATAGGACATTTTTTACGTTTATTAAATTCATTCACGGGATGTGGAATTGCTGGCTATGCCAGAAATTATTGCCCAGAGGGCAGTTAAGAGTTAACTACCTTGCTGTGAGTCTGGAATCATATGTCGGCCAGACCAGGTAAGGATGGCAGATATCTTTCCCTAAAGGGTATTAGTGAATCAGATGGGTTTTTCTGACACTCAGCAATGGTTTCATGATCATCATTAGACCCTTAATTCCAGATTTATAAGAAAATTGAATTCCAATTCCACCATCTGCTATGATATTGCCTGGTTCTCTGGATTAATAGTCTAGTGATAATACCACTAGGCCATCACCTCTCTTCTAAAACTAACTGAAACCAATTATAAATTCCACTTTGGCACATTGCAGAAATTACTCTTGGGCTATTCAATTCTACACAAAGCAGATTTACTCTACCAAGTAATTATTTTTAGAATATTGTTTTACAAGCAGATATGATCACAGGAGAAGTGCATTAATTCACTGTTAACTGACAGAGTGGCTTTTGCAAGTTTTATGGAATGCTTGTCTTCAAAATCATTGGCCTAATTGTAAGCCATTTAATTCTCTCAACCTATGGTATATTCTGTCCAATTAAGCTGAGACTTCCAGCCATTTCCATCCATTTGTCTGACTAACAGAAGAGCTGACTCATTTCAGATTTCATTGTCTATCTGGTCTGTGTTGCTCATTCAGACCACTTTAAGCTTGTCTGCCTGGTTTGGCTCCATGTTTTATTGTTGACAATTACTTAATAACTACCTGGCTGACTTGAAACTGGTTTAACCTCGCTTGGATCATTTTGTGTCCAACTTCATGTTAAGCTGGTTCTAAACAATCAGTACAAATATCCAGCTGTAACCTGCCTTCAGTTTTGATTCTTCAGTCTCTGGCTGCCCACTTGTAGCTTATGTTGACTTGAACCAGATGACTATTTAAACTAGCTGTTTATTTGTTTGTGGATGGTGTAGATTTGGTTTACGATACTCGGATCTGATCTGTGACTGAATGCTAGTGCACAGATATATGGAATAATCTAAAGCCTTGAGAAATGTTATCCTTTATTTCAAGAGGACTGAAAATTAAAAGTAAGGAAATGGTGCTTCAGTTGTACAGGGCCCTTCAAATCCCATATGGAGTATTTCTTTCAGGTTTGGCCATAAAATCTCAGATAATATTATAGATTGAAAGGGAGACAAGACAGATTCACCAGAATGACAATAGGACTTAGAGGGTTAAATTGAGAGAGAACAGGCTGCATAAACTTTAAAAAGGAAATGTTTGAGAAACTCAGCAGGTCTGGTATCATTTGTGGAGAGAAATAGAGTTAACGTTTCAGGTCTGACACAATGTCTCTTCAGTTGAGGGGTTGGAAAATGGTGATTTTTTTAAAAAAAATCTGTTGGCAGAGGGGGAGGAGCAAGTGGAACAAATAGTGAGCAAAAGACAAAGGGAGTGTTAATGGTCAGGAGGGTTAGAGCTCTAAACTGGGTGTACCATTGCTGGGATGAATGTTGGAAAAATGGAGGTTACGGTTCGTGCTCTGAAGTTGTAGAACTCAATATTGAGTCCTATAGGCTGCAATTTGGAAGGTGCCATGAAGGAGTAAGGAAGCAATAGAAGTGACGGAAGAGTGTGCCTGAGAGTCACAGATGGAACTGCCCCTGTGGGAATGCTGACAGTGGAGGACAGGGGTGTATGTATTTGGTGATGGAACCCTGCTAGACATGACGGAAATGGTGAAGGATAATCCTCTGAATAGAGACTAGTAGGGTGGAAAGTAAAGACAATGAAAACCCTTCCTAACATTGTTCTGGGAGGGATGGGAAGGGTTGAGGGTAGAAGTGCGGAAGAAGGTTGAATATGTTTGGGGGCCTTGTCAACAACAGTGGGGGAATCCCCAATTGGGGAAAAAGGGGACCATGTAAAAGTTAGATGGCATCATCAGAACAGATGCAAAGGAGATGAGGAAACTGGGAGAATGGAATGAAGTCCTTGCAGGACGTAGGTTATAAGGAAATGTAGTTGAGGTAACTGGGAGCCAGTGGGTTTGTAGTGGACATTTGAGGACAGTTTATCACCAGAAATGGAAACAGAAGTCGAGGAAAGGGAGAGAAGAGTCAGAGATTGACCAGGTAGAAGTGGACGAAGGATGGAAATTGGAAGCAAAATTGATGAAACTTTCCAAACATTCTGACACTATTTTTGGTTCCATAATTTCCAGTTTTCTGTTCCTAGCCCTCTCCTGTTCACCTCTTCTACACAGCCATCTCCCATTAAGATCATCTGAAGGCTGTCCACTTTTTTTCCTTGAAAAGGTGGCTGAACAATCCCTTTCCACCACCACCGTCCTTCACCTGATGAGCTGGTCATCACTTTGAACAACTTCTCCTTTAACTCATTTCACTCTCTCCAAGTCAAAGCTGTGGCTATGGGTACCCAGCTATGCCTGCCCCTTTGTGGGGTATTTGGAATATTCCTTACTCCAGTCCTATTTGGGCCCCTGCCTACAACTCTTTCTCTGATACATTGATGATGTCATCCATACTGCTTCATTTTCTAGCCCAAAATGGGAAAACTAAATGACTATTCATATCAAATTTCACAGTTTCAGAGAATGATCTCTGTCCTCCATTTTTCTTACATCCATTTCCTCTCAGGCCATGCCATGTTTGTGTATTGTTAACATGGCTCTCAAGAGATTATACCCATTTTCTCCATTTCACACCTATCATTTCTACCTCAGCCCCTTGTTTACCACCATTATCACACCCTTTCTGTTTTGCTTTGGGCACTGTCACAATATGTTCCACTTGCTTCTCCTCCCCCCTTTGCCAACAACATAAAAAAAGCACATTTTCCAGACTCTTCCAGTTCTGAACAGCCATACGATTCAAAATGTTAACTCTGATTCTGTCTCCACAGATGCTGACAGACCTGCGGAGGTCTCCAGCACTTTCTGTTATTTGTATGGCCTTGATTAATTAGTGATCTAGTCAGATACTTTAGAGACTTTTAAGCGACTCTTGGATAGGCACATGGAGGATAGTAAAATGTAGGGTATGCAGGGTAGTTTGATCTTAGTAGGATAGTAGGTCGGCACAACATTGTGGGCCGAAGGGCCTGTTCTATGTTCAATGTTCTAGTTGGAATCTATAAAATTACTAAGTCATTCAATAAGGACAGAGAAACTATTTCAGCGGGTAAGCAAACCAGAAGAATGGAAATATGAACTTGGTCATTTAAGAATTGAAATCAGAAAGTACTTTTGCACAAACAAGTAATGGAAATAGAAAATCCATATAATAAAATGCAAGTGGCCATCTGGTTTGTTTTCTGCCCCTTGTAGTCATCACACGATTCAATGAGAAAGCAGTTGTTGACCAAGCAAAGTTTTCAATTGTTTACAATTAATCTACCACAATTCTAGGTACGACACAAGGATTAGCCAAGAAAGCTTTAGAACCTAAGTCCAAAGCTACTTGTTTTTTCCAAACCTACTACACTTACCACATAGCATGACTTAATAAACTGTCTCCCAATAATTTGAACTCACTGTCCAAGAGACTGTGGGGATCATGAGGTCAATTTGAAATCTGCAAAACCGAGGTTGATTGATTTTTCATTAGATAAGGGTAGCAAAGGCAGGTAAATAGAGATGAAATACAGATCAGCCATAATCTAACAGAAAAGGTGGAACTGGCTTGACAGGTTGAATGGTCTACATCTGATCCTGTAGAATTCCTGGATTTTTCCAATGATTTCTGAAAGTAACTGCCTTAGAACAGTGAAACTTCCGAGAAACAAAAGGAAATGCAATTATGTGGACTGTCTGTCATTTCCTGGAGTTTCCTTGTTGCAATGATATCTCTGATCACCTTTTATAAAGCAAATGTCAGCAAAACGATTAGACCCAAGGGTGGGAGTCTGCACCGTGCACATACCTGGTTGTGCACTGTGCTGAGCTGGTTGCTGAAGGTCATTGTTAGATTGCTCGATGTGCTTGGAGCCACATGTGTGATGAAAGGCGTCTTACTCTGATTCACTGTGTCATACATATTGACTCTTCGCTTGCAAATCTCCATGTTCTGAAAGCAGGACTTGACACTGGAAAAACAATGAGGAGAGCAGTTCATTATTGCAAATAGGGAATTCATGTCATTTTCACTTGTCAGAGCACCAGTCCTGTGTGCTGTGGGGCAGTGTCTGATTTAGGGTTGCTTGTAGGATGATGGGGGTGAGGGGGGATCCTACTTTCTCTTCAAAGTTGTTCTTGTCTCCCATCAGCTGCAAAGGCCTAGGAAACCTCAAAGTAAGTTAAATCTAAAGTGACCAATCTCATTGAGATATTTTATTGGTCAATCTGATTCCCAAGAGCATGTTATTTGTCCATTCTTCATCCCAGAGGTGGCTTGTTTGGAGAAGCGTTGGAGTTGATTTCAAGTTTTCTAAGTTTTAACACCTCACTTGACTTGTAGTTCGAGGTTAATATTTTACTGTTGGGGTGTTCTCTAAAAACACTGGAAATTCAATTACACTGCCCTAATTGTATTCACCACAACTGGAATGTAATGTCTGACTAGCATGCCATGCTTCAACTCTGTACCTTCCCTTTTTTCAGGTTTATTAGGGATGGGAAATAAATGGTGGCTTAGCTGTGACATCCACAACACATAAACGAATACAAAAAAAATCACCTTTTTCACCATTCTCTAGTCCCTTCCCTGCAAATAGTTGCTTCACAGACATTGTCTTTAAATTTCAGGGAAGCCTCAATTGGACTTCTTCAAGTGAAGTGATTCTTTGATTGCTTTTAAAAAAAGGGTAGCCACATTCTTTTGTGTAACCTTGTGATAGGGTGCACAATAAATCACAGCTCAAACTGCTAAAGCCAATCAAGCAGTATGAACTGCTGATGACAATTAGACCAGTAAGTCTTTCTCAGTCCATCATTGTTAGTATGTTTGTCCAACCTCTTCTTGTTGGTCAGTCCTCCCACATGACCAAACAACCTCCTCATGTCTTTTTTTTTTGCAATTCTTTTTATCAACTTTTTTTTAAATTCAGCACACAATTTGCAGCTGGGTTGCAATGAGGGTAATAACTGCCTTATAATTTAACTTATTATTAAAGTCTATAACCCTGTTGTTTCAACAAATTTAAACGTTTTGTTTTGCCTTACATCAGCAGTTCACCATTATGCCTTGCCTTGTGTACCATCAACATTTGTTTTGTTTAACATGGTGGTAAGTTTTTTTTTAAGAACCCTACTTCACAACTTTTCTCCCGTGACAATCTTCTTTGAGATTACCTCTCAATACAGTATTAAGTAGGGAATTCCAGGATTTTGAACTCGTAATAATGAAGGAACGGTGATATGTGTTCAATTTGTGTGGTCTGTGACTGGCTGGGAACGTAGAGGTGATAATGCTGTCATGCACCTGCAGCCCTTGTCCTTCTAGATTGTAAAGAGTTTAGGGAATATGCTGTTGTTAAAGGCTCAGCTAGCTGTTACAGTACATTCTGTGGATACTACATATTTCAGCCAAAGCGTGGTATTGATGGAGGAGGTAGGTGCTGATTCCAGTGTTTGGATCAAGTGACTGATATTAATTAACTGAATTATTTTGACTTAAATGGTCTTGAACTATCCTGAGTGTTGATGAAGCTGCATTCATACAGGAAAGTGGAGATTAGTGCATCACATTCCCAACTTCCACTATTTCTGTTACCAATTTCAATTCCACTTGAATCATTTGATTAGATTATAGCCTTGTAGGCTCTCAAGAATCTCCAGTATAATCTATATAAAAAGTGCCAGAGAAAATTCTCAATCCCAGAGGTTATTATGTTTAGGAAGTTTAAATAAGTTGGGAAAAGAACCAGATAATATAAAGAAAACCTTTTCTGCATATTAAATGGTTCGGAGCTGGAATGCACTGCCTGAGCACGTGATTGAGGCAAATTCGATTATGGTTTTCAAAAGGGAACTGGATAATTATCTGAAGAGAAAAGTTTGGAGGGATGTAGGAAATAGCATGGAAGTTTGATTAAGTTACTTTTGGAGAGTTTTGCTACAGACACTGATATCTTCCAAATGTCTTATAACTTTGCAAGTGTTCAGGTGTGGAAGAATTTGGGAAACTTGCCCTGGCAAGAGGAACGTACTGTGTGCTATGAGGAAAATCTAATAGGTGAGTCATCATTACAAAGGGATGGCTCAGTGTCTCGATCGGTGTAATTCTCTTGTCTGCGTCAATGGTCAACATCTTCTTCAGCAGATCAATAAACTCCCGCCTGTCTGCCTTCTCTGCCAGCATCTCACTTCCTTCCAAGTCTGTCGTCATATTCACCTGCAAGGAAAAGGCTGGCATTAGGTGGGAAATTGTCTTTTCCATGGTTGAATGAAGCAAGCCTGCAGTGACAACAGTCAGACATGGATGTTCACATTCTCCAGCACAGTGCCACCAACAAAGATTCAGCACAGGATTGCAATGGAAGGGAACCCCTGCAGCTTTGCAACAAACATGCAAAGGCAAAAGAGGAAGAAAGGGAGCAGCTTGCACTTTGCATAAGCTTTTCTCTCATTGTGCTTTCCACAGCGCCTTATCTCTTGCTGAAGTACATTTCCATGAGTGGCCCAGCAGAACACCAGGATCCCTTTCTTTAACTTTTAACTTAGCAGTGGGTGTTGACATATATCTGCGGATGTGAATCATCTAACTACTACTTATTCAGACCTATTATGTTTATTGTAATACAATATCTATTATCCATCCATCTATGCAAATTTATCTCTATTTAAATATACTGCATATGGAACCAATGTATTTCATCTGTCTATATATACATACATACAATTACATGAGTATATATCCTTATGGGTCTGTAGATATATATTGTAAAGACAGAGACAGAAATAATGGGCCAGAATTTGCTGTCATAATAAGCGAGGCTGACAGTAAATGCTGTTATTTGTAAGCAAACAGTACAGAAACTTAGTTGAGGGGCAGATGCATGGTTAAAAATTGAAACAAAAAAAACTATCTTATTTGCAGCAATCTGTCATTAACCTCACAACAATAGTATTTTACTGTCAGCCATTAACATGAAGTGAATGGTATGTTGTTCATGAATTTGAAAGCTAGATATGAACTAATCTTTCCATAGAAAGTTGAGTCACTAACATTTTAATCATAAGCATAAATTACTGTCAATTATCATTTCTGGCACTAACAATGAATTATTCCAAGTGTGGAGTCTCATTCCTTTGGATATTTAATTGTCATTGGAAACTTTCAAAGAGTAAAGGTTAACATTTCAATTTTTTTTGAACTTTTGTTTTTTTGACACTTTTTCTTTCTTTCTTATTTTAATCTTCCCTTCCATTTATTTATTTATCTGCACCTCATTGGGCATAGAATTCATCTAATTTAATTTATTCTTCTTATTCCTTGCATTGTTAATTTTACAATCCTTCAAGCAGTTTAAGATAACGAGCAATATTTGTCCTTTTCACTCATGTTTTAGATGCTGTTTTCCTTGTTTATGCATTATCAGCTTGCGCATTAGAAACTTGCTTATAAAAACGTAAAATCTTAAATGTGCAAGGAATGTCACCTACATATGATGTTTTATTCAATGTACATCATAAGAAACATTTTACTCAGTTTTGAACAAACACACAGTGAGAGAAAGCTCTGAATTTAAGAATTCCCTGATTTTAGACATAAACCAAAGTGTCTGATCCATGCCATCTCAGCACAGACAACATAAAGAAATTTAAGAGAAACTTTTGGAACCCAAATGCTATCAGTCTTTCTGACATGTTTATATTTTTAATGTCGGGAGAAAAAAAGGCCCATGGTTGACAATTGTGCATGTGGCTCTCCTTGCTCTGGGTCAAACTGATTAGAGATTCAGTCTGCGCTGAGGTCACACAAGAGCTTACGTCAATCCCTTTGTGTTTGAGAGATTGGGGGCGGGGGGCAATATTATTCTGGCAGTTTGAGTTTTGTTTGTGACTTTTGTTGTTTTGTTTGTTGCAGTGGTTCAAGAAGACAGCTCACCACCACCAAGGGCAACTAGAGATGGACAAAAATTGCTGGCCAGCCAGCAATGCCCACATCCCACAAATGAATAAATAATTTTAGAAAACTCTGTATACATTTGAGAGGACATGTCTGGATATTGTGTGTTTCTGTATGTGAACATTTTTTTTTTGTGGTTTTGTGTACTTGTGTGTGTCTTTGTGTTTTTAAGTGACAGCATGTGTTTGTGAAAGTCTGAATGAGCAGCTGTATGTACAAGCACGATGCACGAATGTGAGCACGTGTCTGTTTAATCTGTGTTTTCATTGTGAGAACATGTATGTGTTTGTGAATCTATATATGTGTTTATGTGTATGTTTTTTGTTTCTGTGTATGTTGGGTGAGGTCCCTTCTTGTTTAATTACTCTGTCAGCACTCACCGCTAGAGTTCAGATGTGGAAATGGTCCTTTACTGAGGTACCAGAAGGCTCCATGCTCTGGGTCACACTGATTAGAGGTGTCTGTAAAATTGTAGTCCAGCGAAGAGAGCAAAGGAAATTGCACAATCTGCCCAAGAAAGACAATCATACCTGTGCCATATCATCCAAACAGTTAAAAATGTATTTCCTTGCCTCCTTCGACTTGATCCCCATCTCAGTCTCGTGATCTTCTGGTGTCTGTAATTTTAACAAGAGAATACTTCTTACTCCATATTTGATGTAGTGCAGAGAGCATTGAGAGTGTTTGGTTCCTATCCAGACTGCTAGGTGCCTTTAGCTATAGCTGCGTTTCTGACACGTCTCATAGTACAACTAACAGCTTGTAGCTCTGGACACGCTTATGGAATTCTCCTCATCTTCTCCCAGCATTTGTAAGACTGGCCGCCCTTCCTTCTTGTTGTTTAAGAGCTGCAACCTGTCCATTAATCTTAGACATCCTTAGGTCAAGAAAATGATAGGGGCAGCATTAGTGGTTAGCACTGCTACCTCACCGCGCCAGGGACCCAGGTTCGATTCCACCCTCGGGCAACTGTCTGTGTGGAGTTTGCACATTCTCCCCGTGTTTGCGTGGGTTTCCTCCAGGTGCTCCAGTTTCCTCCCGCAGTCCAAAGATGTGCAGGCTAAGTGGATTGGCCACGTTAAATTGCCCCGTAGTGTTCAGGAATGTGGAGATTAGGGGGATTATAGGGGGATGGGTCTGGGTGGGATGCGCTGAGGGTCAATGTGGACTAGTTGGGCCAAAGGGCCTGTTTCCACACTGTAGAGATTCTACGATGGCCAGATAAAGGGTTGAGTTTGTTGAACATAATTTGAAAAATGTCTCTTTATCTATTAGTCCCTGTGTCATGTTAATTCTTGGCGGCTTAAGAGGTGGACAAGCTCTCCTTAAAAGCAACAAAGGAATCTCACTGAATCTAACACTGCAGTGCTAGAAGTCTCTTTCAGTCATGAGGTCTAAAGCAGTGAAAGTTTGTTTAAATACTGGGGCATGCCAGCTATCAAGTAAAATATTATTGGAGTAGTCTGATTTTTATTTTCATCCTTTCCTGTAATTTGAAAGCAGAGTAATGTTATTTCCTGGCTTGAGACGACAGGCTGTCCTTCCTCAGGATCGTGGCAAGTGGAAGAGTCAGATTATGTCATCAAAAAGATAGGATAGATTGCAGACCTGTTTAACTGCAGATTGCTACACTTGAGAGAGATTCAACAAGGTAGTTCACATTTTCTAAACCAAAAGAAAGTAATCAATTTGATAGGAAAAGAATATCTAAAATAGACTTCTGTGACCAAAGGATGTCCCAAATCACTTCACAAACAATGAAGTATTTACAGTGTAGTCACTGTTTTCATTGCTACAATCGGGCAAGAGAGTGTAATTCAGCTCCCCATCTTTTAAACCCCTTTCAGTTGGCTGCAGCAAAGATCTTTAGATGTTTGTGCATGTAGCTATCACACTTCAATTATCATGTAATATTAGACAAAATCAGACAACCAAAAGCAAAACTTTCTTGAGTGAAAGAGAAAAGAATGTTAATGACTTACTAATCCCAAGAAAATAATAAAAAGCAACATCAAATACATGCTCAATATTACAGGTATAAAAGTTTAAAAGGTGAAAGGGTTGAATTTTCCCATTTGGGAGCCAGTGATTTTCATGCATTCCCACTGTCATGGGCCAGGTTAATTTTCTTACTCATTTTGCCTCCTTAACCAGGGTGAGCTGCTGGTGCAGTTTTCAGGAGGTTGAATCGTCAAAGGGGTGGAAGTGCCAGCCTTCCACTTATATGCTTCCCATGTCTGGTGGCTGCAACCCAAAACTATCCCTCACACATGGTGTTCAAGACTAATCACTGACAAAATAGCCCAGAAGAAAGGCAAGCTCACTTATGGCTTTATAGGCAGGGATCTGGAGGTATTGGGGGAGCTACTGGTGGAGAGAAGAGAAACCCCTTTCCCAGTGGGTCACTAAAAGAGGCCACACCATTTGACCTAACCAACTTGGACATAATTTGCAGCAGGAATTGGTGTTGTGAAAGATCATTGACTTTTCTCCAGCAAGAGAAAGAAGTTCAATGATCTTCTGCACACCACAATCAAAAGTGCTACAGAGTTCTCTCTGCTACTTCCCTGGATTACCAGACATCCCAGGCCCCTCTCATTCTCTATAAGGTCCCACCCGACAATCTACAATTGACTCTTATCACAATGGCCATTCCCTCAATGACTAATACAATGAAGCCCATCCCCAGACTAATGTTGCCTGCTTTTCCCTGATACCGTGGGCCATACCATAATAAACCCCCTGACTATTGTTGATCAAACCCACATGATCATAACCCACTGAGGCCCATCTCCTAGACTCCAACTGACCACGGCCAAGCCTGGACTGATGTCTCAACTGCACCTCACAGTGACCCACCTGTATTCCCTGGACTGCTTGCATTTGATCTGCAGAACTAACCATGGCGCAATCCCCAACCTGCAAGGAAGCATGGATAACTGAGCTCTGGTAGGACCAAGTGCCTGTGGCCAACCCCTATAGTATAATCAGATGAGCCCCTGACTGACTATGACTGATCACAGATCCCCTTGACCACACTAAGGATTGGTGCCTGTAGACTTTCAAACATGGCCAGGTCTTTGAAGCACGTGCAGTGTATGTGTATGTATATGAGAGCAAAGTAGACAGGGACTAGCACTTAAGTATATGCTAAGAAATAAAGCTAAGAGCCATAAACTGCACATGTCTAGATCAGGACAAAGACATCCTGTGTTGATTCATGAGAAGCATATCCCTTCCTGCCCACAAAGCAACCTGGCAGAATGTCAGCACCCTGTCATCACTGTCCCCGATCTCCAACATAAAGGTAGAAGTGGTGTGCAAGTTTGTTCAAGAGCAGGAGTATTGATGTCCTGAAGGTCATGGCCATGCAGCAAGCAGGGAGGTTGTTCTGAAGAAGCAGTTGCATGAGGGCTAGAACAATTACTTGGTGAGCTGCAGCCTCTACGGACCAGCTCTGATTTTCATGTTGGGAATTTGCAGAATCTAGATGCTGGTGGGGAGCAGAAAATTGGAATTGGTGAGTTGCAAACGCATGGTAATAAAGTAGACATTCACTCAAGGGTAAGATTCTGATCTCGTCATTTCATCCTCAAGGTAACATTTGGGATCATTTTTTTCATCATCATGAATTTGTTTTTTTTTTCATTCTCAAAATTAATTTTCCCACTTTTCTCCTCATTCTTCTCACCACACCAGAGAGGGGAAACTTGCACCACGGGTGTCTGGTATAGAAAGGAAATATATTAGTTGTACAGTTTTAAATGTTGTGGATTCATTAAGATGTTAGATTTGAACCTGAAACCACAATTGTTTAACAGTTGACATATTTTCAGCAGTAGTGAAACCGTCATTTATTTGACTTCTTAGTGACTTATTTATTTCTCCAGTTTTCTTTTCATCAGCTACTTCTTTTAAGATAACAAGGAAATTTGGAAAGAGAAACTTTAAGTGCTTGCTGTTATCAATACTTAAATATTCCTTTCTCTCTCTCTGCTGCTCTGCCAAACAGCTGCTGAAATATAGTTCTTTTGTGCATTTCTGTGTCTGGCTCCATTTTCTACACTGAGTTGTTGCAGGTAACCCCTTTATGTCCAACATATGCAACTTCTCATACAAATGTAAACTGAATCAGAAGATGCAAATTTTTTGATGCCTGACAAGTATTGACCAGTTTTGAGGTCTTTAAATAAAATTACAATTTCAGTGCAGACAATTTCATTTACTGAACATCAATTGCTTGAATCTGTAGTCAGGAGATTACTGCTCCATTTTAGGTCAGTGTTGTCCTTTTAAAACAATTTTAATCCATGAATGGTCTCAAGTATTAAAATCAGATGATGAAAGTTGAAAATTAATAGTTGATATTTTACCACTTTCGCCACATCATATAGTGAAATGTAGCGGCTAAATTACACACATCAGGATCCCACAAACAGCAATGTGATAGTAGTTTAATGTTGTTGATTAAAGGATAAATATTGACTAAGAGACTAGAAGAACACTCCTGCCTTTCATCAGATAGAGCCTCAGGAACTTTTATATCGAATTAACAGGACAAACGGGGCTTCAGCTTAAAGTCTCACCTGAAAGACGACACCTCAGACAGTAGTGATCTCTCAAGAGTATGAGCTTAGACTAAATCTCTGATGTGACCCTGGCACCTAACTTGACTCAGAGATCAGAATGACAAAGCAGCTGTAAAAATGTTCCGACCAACAACAACCAGCTCTTGGTCTCTTCTTAACTAGATCCCTGGCAGAGAAAAACCTGGCACAAGCATTTCAAACCATACCAAGTTATTCACCTGGAAATTTGACCCTTGAGCCATGATATAAATTTATGGCAGCGTGTCAATGAACCTTGAAGATATTCTTGACAGAGTTATGTTTTCCTGCAGCCAGTTACAACAGAACTGTGTACTTACCATTCTGAAATGGGCCAAGGCTACCCAAAATGAAGCATACATAAACAGAATTAATTCTTCTGAAAACGGGAAATCATGTACTGTTTCAGCAGCACCCTGGAGTAAGTAAGTGTGTTCTGCTCCTGACCTACCAAGTTCGGAAGTTCCCAGATTCAATTCCTGATCAGACCTGAGAAATAATTTGGCTGGTATAATAGATTTCATTCAGAGATTGGAGCGATGCGGGGGATGGTGAGGACAGTGATTGCTCCTGACACAGACCAGGTTAGGCTTAATAGACTCAGTATATCATATCAATCTCATTGTCAGAAAGCCAGGCAGTACTCATCATCAAGGCTAATTGTCACCCATCATGTTGCAGCCTTGTGGGAATCAGTACTTTATAGCGGGTAGGAAGTGGACAGAGATTAGTGCATCAGAACGTGATAGTTTGAATGCTGATGTTAGAAGAGGAAAAAGAAAGGCAGAAATGGGGTGGGGAATCAAGGATGGAGATAGTCACAAATCCTATTAGGTTTCCTGCTGTGCATCAGCCTAGTCAGTTCCATTGTCCACTCAATAGGATCAGTACTGACAGTTGAATGTGTAACACGTAAAGGGTACGATGGTTTCATCTAGTCCCAGCCTTAGACGGCAGAATATACACTGCGTCTATTCTCCCAGCATTTCTACCAGCAATGCCAGACGGACAAGTACTTACACAGAGGGAAGGACAGTAAACCATAACAAGGAACTCATCTCAACACTGTTTATGCTGCATAGCCAGCTGAGAAGGAACTGCCCAATGCTGAAAGAGACCGAAACAAGGTCAGTCAACCTGCCCCACTTTATCACAATCAGAACAGCGAGAGGAAGTTGAAGGTAAAGAAGTGAAATAGTGATCATAAACAGAAATGAAGCACAAATACATGGTGCCTTCTCACTCACTATAAAAGAGCAAGTCACCTTAAGTCTCCATAGTGGATACGATGAATCTGGATCTCTGTTGAAGAACCGTGTTGTCTTTGTCCCTGCACTTAACAAATACTCCGCTGGCAACCCTTGTGTTTGTGAAATGTAACGGATCTGAAAGAGACAATAATGATATAGATATCAGCAATCGTACACTCCATTTATGTGTCTACCATGAGAATCACAAACCCTTTATGCTACAATGTTAATCTACTCCATTGAAAGGCAAGGAGTTTGATGGGATGTTGCTCTCCTGTCCAAGTGATTACTCTTCATGTTTCAGATGAGTGAGGTTTGACAGGGCTGTTGGTCATTGCGAGTATTAATTTGTTTACATTACTGGGATGATCAGGGCACTACCATATCTACACACAATCCTGCCCTACAATCCTACACACATACACCTCCATCAAGGTTTACTGAATAGTAATCAACAGTAGAAATCCTACTTAAATTTCCTTCTCATCTACAGGTCATTGAGCCCTAATTTAAGATGCCTAACTCAGGTCGGATAACTCAATCTCGAACCTTCTGGCATGCATGTCTCAATGCAACACTACTCAACAGATCATTAGGGAATTCAAATTTCTCAAAGTTTTCTCTGACCCATTTAACGTAGATATCTTGACAAATGTAGTTCAATGTACTCTTATCCGTGAACACTGGCTCTCTAACATTTTCAAAGTTATTTTTGCTTGCTTTGGTATTGCACCACAGAGTAACTTAGAGAAGCTATTTTATTGGATTAAATGGTTATTAGTTTTATTCTGTTCATTATTGGTCTTTAAAATGCAGACTATTCTGCTACATTTAAAACCCACTGGCGGGCTTTAGCTGCCAAACTAATTAATTGACCGTAATACACTAAGCACATAATAAGTAACACAGGAGAATAGGAACAGGACTAGACCATCCAGCCCCTCAGGCCTGTTCTGCCATTCAATTAGATAATGCCTGACTTGTCTCCAGTGCACTTACGTGCTGTGTTCATATATTTACAGTTGTGGTTACACAGTATGAGATCCTTATAAAGGTTAAAAAGTATGAAATAACTCAACTTCAATTCCAAAACTACAACTAAATTTACTTGATTCAAATCATTTTTATTTAATCTTTTCCCTACCAATACTGAAAATTTTCTGACTTATCCTCTCTATAAGTTCCAATTGGAAACTCAATTATTTGAAAAAGTGCAAGTTGATAAATACCTCCTTGGAAGCGAGCAATTCTTTATATAGTTATCCATTAATTCAAAAGAGTCACCCACCAGACATCTGAGCAAATTACAAAGCATATTTGAAGCTGAACAGAGAGGCTTGCCTTACCCTCAAGCAACTTGCTGGGCAAACAATTCATCTGATTATTGCAACAATCTATTGACTTAAGTTAGAATATGATTTCTGTACATGAACTTACTTTGGAAAAACCTTCTTCACCATGAAAGAAGTCCTATTTTGAACAAGGTTTTCTTGTTCAAATACAAAGCACATTTACAGTGATGCTACAAGTTAGATGAGTATTTGTGGCTTCTTAGTAAAGTGCCACAGTTTCTGTACCTCATCCAGACCTTTGGGGTACTGGGTATGGGCACTGAGCTGATGGGAATTGCTTTCTATGTGGGTGGAGAACAAGGTCAACTAGAATTAAAAAGAAAATAAACAGCAAACATTTTCATGACAGAGATCAGAAAGTTATCTTTTACATCCCTTCTCAGGATGTGGGTGTCTCTGGCAAATGCAACACTTATTGGCATTCTTCATTTGTGATGGGCTTTCTTCTTGAGGTTCTGTGACAACTGAGGAGCTTGCTAAGTGTCAGCTGTAACTGTATGATTCAAATACAGGCCAGACAGTATTGTAAGGACATTAATGAACCTGTTGGGTTTGAACTCTGTGATAGCATCATGATGACTTTTACTGATAGTAGCGTTTTTTTATTTCCAGATGTTTACAAACTGAATTTACACTTAAAAAAAAATAAAATTTAAATTCTGCCAACTAACATGGTGGAATTTGAACTTAGTTTACTAGCCTAGGACCCTGAATTATTTTGCTGGCTACCTGGCTTACTTCTCCAGACCCTAAGTTACCCAGCAAAATGATTACCTACCCAGATAACCAATAATATATTAAGTTTATTTTACCTGTGTTAAATATAGACCAAAAATCACACAACACCAGGTTATTGTCCTGTTTATTTGAAGAGACAAGCTTTCAGAGACTCCCTACTTCTTCAGGTGTCTTAAAATAGACGGTTTTTATAGTACTCTTTTAAGCAATAGTTTCTATTTGGAGCACTCCAGTGTTAGTGCCAAGCACTCAAGTCAGATCTATAACAGGGTTTATTAAAGACGTTGGCATATTGGCAATGTTCTGGTTCAGATCCCACCATGGTAGTTGGTAGAATTTAAATTTAATTAATCAGGAATATAAAGCTGGTCTTGGTAATGGTTACCATAACAACTATTGTCGATTGTTGTAAAAATCCATTTGCTTAACTTGTGCCCTTTAGGAAGGAAATCTGTCATCCTTACACAGTTTGGCTGTGGCCTGTACATGTGACACCTGACACACAGCAATGTGGCTGACTCTTACCAGCTTTCTCATATTGGCCAGCAAGCAACTCAGTTCAAGGGCAATTAGGGGTGGGCAACAAATGCTGACCTTGCCAGCAACATTCACATCCTATGAAGGAACAAAATTAAACACAAAACAAACTAAAGCAATTATGAAATGATAATAGAAGGTTCATGCTGAGGCAGTTCAGCATGGGTCATGGGTATAAAATCATTCAACACTGTGGCAAAGAGCTATTTAACACATTGGGTCCTTCATCATTAAGCAGCCAGCTTGACGATGTTGTTTTACATTTAGCACAAGCTATATCCAGTAATGCACAACATTAGCTTTTTCCAACCAAAATCCTCAGGTACTCAAGTAGTATTAGCTCCAGGGCATTCAGAGAATCTGTTGCTTTATCAGTCATTTGTTTAATGTTCTGCTGAAAGACAACTTGGAAATAACAAAGATTATGGACATTATTCCTGTTAAATAGCAGTCACGTAGTTGCAACTGGTGTGGACACTGGACACATACCAGTAAATTTATTTCCTCTTCGGCATTTGAAATGACCCATTGGCATGAAGCATTGTTCCCCTAAATTATCAGAAGTCTTAAGAGCTGACTTTATACTGAGCCATCTTGCCCACATCAAAACCAACTAACATATGCTATCACTTTGCACTTCGTAGGAGCTTATTGTACATACCGTAAAGTGCACATCACATTTCCAACATTATAACACTTCCAAAGTACTTCATCAGCTGTAACGCACGTTGGGACATCCCAAGGTCATAAAAGATGCTAAATGCAATTTTATTTTTCTTTCTGTTTATAAACACCTTAGTTTTGTAATATTCCCCAGTTCCCTACTCTCCACTGATACCGGAATGCAGTTCCTCCAGCGCTACTCGTTCACTCCAACTTAATTTCTAATGAAGTGTGCTTCAAGAGTGACATGGAACTATAGAGGTGCTTTGAAATGAACATCAAACATCGTAACAAGTAGGTGAAGTTACTGCCATTAACACATAACTAGACTGGTTAGCAAGTGTTCAGTTCAACCCAGCTGATCACAGTCTTGGCTGATCGGAGTCCTGGCTTCTTCCACATCCTGACTTTCATTTGGCTCAGTGCCTTGAATAGTCATAATCCCTACAGCGTGGGAGCAGGCCATTTGGTCCATCAAGGTCACTCACTCAAACCCACCCACCTACCCTATCCCTGTCCCTGTAACCCTGCCTTTCCCATGGCTAACCCGTCCCTGGACTGTGGAAGGAAACCGGAGCACCTGGCCCACACAGACATGGGGAGAACATGCAAACACAATATAGATAGTTGCCAGAGACTGGAATCAAACCCATTTCCCTGGTTCTGTAAGGCAGCAGTGCCAATTACTGAGCCACCATGCCACCCTAAAGTGAGGAAAAATGAGCAATACTTTCTACTCCTGATCCCTATCGACTGATGATACTAGAAGTCAACATATTTAGACACTGGTTTCTTACTCATCTCCCTAAATCTATCTCTCCACCACTGGCAGCTTTGACATCAGCTACCTCGGCCTCATGATCAGCAATACTCCATTTCTCTTTCTTCCTTTAAAATGCTGCTTAAGGCTATATTATTAAGCATTTATTTGGCCAACTGACCTCTTGTCTTTTGATGCAGCTTGATGTCAAGCTTTGTTTATATTCCTGTGAAATGTCTTAGAGTGTTTTGCATCACTAATGTAAGGACCATACCTTTTTATTTTGTGTTTTAAAAGTTGGGGTCGCAAATGAAAAAAAGTTGTTTCGAAAACCAGTGTTTGAAAGGGTAGCTGCAGTTTTGAAAATTAAGTAACCGGATAACAATTGCAGGCAAATGTGTAAACCACTGTTTGAACAAGCAGTAACTGGAGTTTGAGTTGTGGATGATTTGGAATGGAGGGAGGTATACAGATGCAGCTTTTGCTGACAAGTTGATTGGTCTATGGACTAGTGACCAGTTATCAATGACAGAGACCTTTAAGCCTGCCGGCAACTGTGTAATTGGTTCTTAGATAATTGAACAGCTTGGAACTGTGAACAAATTAGAAAGAGACAACGTGAGAGGGGTTCAGTTCTTCCCCAGCTCAGGAGCTGTCTCTCTGTTCTCTACAGTCAAAATCCAAATAGTCTCACTGTACACCTAATGAAAATAAGTTTATTTTTCCTGTAACTGTGACTTTTAACTGATAAGTCAGGGACTTTTTATAAGGGAATTGAGTCACTTACCAACCAGAGGAACCTCCTAAGAAAGTAATGTTAGACCCAGCAGCAAAAGAGTCATAATGATCATTGAACAACAGAACCTGTAACAAAGGCTACTCAATTGTCTTTCCAGTCTTTCTCCTTTGTCCATAATCTATTTATCCTGTCTATTTGTCTGTGTGTGTAAAGGAAAGTTTATAAGTAGATTAGAGTTTTGATTCATCGGTACATACTGATAATTTATAACTGTTATCTAGAGCTAGAGAGTAATGGTTTGTAATAAATAGTAAATCTTGTTCAGTACAGAAACCTGGTCAATGTT